ATAGCAAATCTGTATAACAAATATCGTTTTGTAATCCATTATTTACATTTACAAGAGTGTTTAAAAAATGGTTTAATATTACTTAAAATACATAGAATACTAACATTCTTCCAAGATAATTTTTTAGAGCCATATATTTCATTAAATACATCTCTAAGACAAAAAGCTAAGTCAGATTTTGAAAGAGACTTTTTCAAAAAACAAAACAACTCTATTTTTGGGAAAACGATTGAAAACAAGCGCAAACAACTTGATGTTCGGCTAGTTCAGGTATGGAAAGATAAATTAAATACAACTAACAAATTACATGGGGCTGAAAAATATATAAGTGCTCCAAACTTTAAAGACTTGACAATTTTAGACAAAAATTTAGTGGCTATACAGTTAAATAAAACAAAAGTAGTTTTAGATCGCCCCATTTATATTGGATTTTCTATACTCGAAATATCTAAAACACATTTATATAATTTTCATTATTCGGTTATGAAAAAGATCTATGGAGATAACATAAAACTGTGTTATACGGACACTGATAGCCTTCTATATCACATAAAATCTGACGACTTTTACACTGACATGAAAAATAATATTACTTATTTTGATACAAGCAATTTCGTAGAAAATAATATATATAGTATGCCAAAAGCTAACATGCAATTACCGGGTTATTTCAAAGACGAAATGGGAGGAGATGTGATCTCAGAATTTGTTGGTTTACGTGCTAAATTATATTGTATACAGTCAGAGAAAAATACCATAAAAAAGGCAAAAGGGGTTACAAAGCCGGTAACAAAAAAATTAGATATTGAAAAATATAAAAGAGCTTTAAAATATAATGAAAATTTAAGAGATGATATGTATATAATACGATCAAAAAATCATTGCATTTTTACACAAAAATTGAATAAGTTAATTCTTAACAGAGATGACAATAAACGGCAAATGATAAAAAACAGTTTTGAAACTGTGCCTTGGGGACATTATGGTACAATACTTTAATAAGAATTCGTATTTAGGTATGTTTTGTTTATGTTTTGTAATTATTATGTTTTGTGTTTATCATAATTTACTATTATGTGATTGTAAAACACACCGTATTGATAACATGTATATCTACTTGTATGCCAAATAAATATTATAAAGTACTTTGTTGTTTTTTTTTTATTTTTATTTATAAATAAAAAAGTATACCATATAAATATATTGTTTACGGAAAGGTAAATAAAAGAAGATAAATTTTGTGACATTTTATATTCAACAATAAGTAATAAGCAGCTTACACTCTTGTCCAAATAAGATTTACTGTTGATTAGACAAGCTAATTTTTTTTACTATTTTACCTATCAAATATTCAATTTCATCCATAATATCATCACAATAGTCTTTCACTAGGTACTGAACACTTACACGAGCATTATTATTTTCACAGTAATTAATTCCTGGAACAGTGTCACCACTCAGATCATAAACTGCTATATTTATCAAATGATGACATTTTCCTGGTTCATTTCGAATAACATAAGACAAAGATGTGTCCAGCTTCCTTTTTTTAGTCTTCTTGGAACTTTGAGCTTGATTATTCTGAGAGTCTTTAACTGGTAAATGTTGCTGATTTGTTAAGTTTTCAAAATACGTTTTGTAGTTTGCCTCCTGTAGATCCTCAGAATTGGGCTGTGAAAATACAATTTATTAACATCTAAAATAGTAACATAAATAAATACATTAGAAGCTGAATACTATCTTGGGTATTCTGGAAAAGTTCATAACTACGCTGACGGACTAATAGGCTCCATCAAAGTTCAACACGCGCCTACCCTTGAAAAGTGGAAAGGGCTATTCAATTTTTTTTGAACAAGTCTTTGTTGCAGTTTCTTTGTCTGAACTTTGTCTAACGATGATGAATAAAGTAATATTTACTAACCTCTTGTATTTCTGTCTGATCAACTTCGTTCAAAGGAGTTGTGATTTGAGAATCAACATTATCAAATACAAATCTGTTAAGTTCTCCAATGTCGAGAATGCTGGGGCTGTATGACATGATTCTGAAAATAAAACTTAAGTGAGATATCTAATTATCCACATTAAAAATATAGTGATAATTTTTTTAACATTAAAATCTTACCAATAAATCTTAATTTCTCCGCTAAAAACAGGTCCTGCTTCGACTAACTATGGCAGCATAATGAAATATGACGCAACATGAAATTAAATCAATTAGGTA